ACAACATTGGTTTTAAGCGATTATCATGATCCTCCCATTTCCTGGCAAAATAGGGTATTAAGAGATCTTCGGATCCCCCTTTTTTCTGTCAAAAAGGCTGCGTTTCTAAGAAGATGTATACCTCTTCTAAGAGTCTAACGAGTGTTGCATTGTATTCGATTAAATTATTTAAAACAATCAATACGATTAAATTACTTACCAAACAACCAATACGATTTATTTTTATGTGTACTTAAATGAATTTATTAATTTCAAATGTTTGAATATGTATGTATCTCCTTAAATTATTATTCATTTAGAATGTTATGTATGCCAATTAATTTAGTATGTTTGTTTTATGACTATATGTATATATCTTGGAAAAAATCGCAAATTACTTAAATTTTGATTGTTAATAATATAATTATAATAGAATTATATTCTAAATTAAATCATTAATTTTAATTAATTTAGTTATAAGACTAAACTATTACTTATATATCATAAATAATTTTAATAATGGTTGATAGCCGCAGCAACCACCCTGGATTTCAACTGCCGATGGCCTTGGGATGTTATGGATGACGCACATGTGTGTGTGTTCACCGCACGGGATATGACCCAATGGCCGTGTCTCTTGCTGTTGATGGCCCGGATCCTAACATTGCATCCCTCGTTATGATTACCGCATTTGACTATGAGCCTTTTCGTGTTGGAATGAGTTGTGTGCCATTCAAAATGGTGAGTCATTGCTTCAGTATCAATGGCGTGCCGCACCTCCTTCTTCAAGCCAAATTGTTGGCCCTACTTAAACCCATTGAGTGGACCCCATATTGGAACCTCCGGAGGTTCCATGTCGCTGTCGACCATTCAATCTCCGTCTGGCTTGTGATTGTAGTAGGGGACTGGTACACGGTCATGAGCCACCTCATCATCATTATCTGAGTCTGACTCTGGTCCTGAATCATCGGCACCTTCAAGAGGGTCGGAGCTGTCTGCACTGACATTATTCTCTCCTTCTTCATCAGAGGGGTCACTGACTGGTGCTGGCAGGGCATCTTCCATCTGATCCAGCTCATGAAAGGCACCTTCATCAGCTCCATAATGGTAGTTGTGAAAACTACCACTGCCTGATTGGAAGTTGTAATGGGATTGGTTGGCATGGTCCGGTTGAACTTCTTCTTCATATGACGGGTAAGATTGATGATGACCTTCACCTTGCTCTTGATACTGAAAATAGGAATGAGGATCATGGTAACTTTGGTAGGGATGATCTCCATATAATTCACCTCCACCATGGATGCCAGATGTTTGACCGTCTCTAAAATGACCTCCAACACCTACGACCGGCTCGGTGTAAACGAACATCTCGGCTTTGGAAAGTTTGTTGGACCTCAAGAATTTGAGCATGGCATCTACCTCATCCTGAGTGGTTATGAGATATTCCTCGTGCCACAACGACCCGCCTTCTCTGTTTGGATATCGGTACACCATACAATCAACTCTTCTCGTGTCATCCATGCAAGTAACGTTAGTACACATTTGATAGAGGTCTTCAAGCATCGGTCTGGTAGCGACCTTTATTTTCTGAAAATTGCCACCGACGTAGGTGACTCCCTTTCCGCTCTCTTCCGTGTAACCATTCCACCGTAACCCAAGCGTGAACTTTTGGAATGCCATCTGCAAAAAAAAAAAAAAAAAAAAACAATAGTTCAACTAATATCATAAAAATCACAATTAACAATAAAAAGTAATACAAAAAAAAACTTACGAGTTAACGTTAACCGCAAAAACACTAGAGAAATATGGAGCTACAATAGAAAATTGAAAAGGGAGAAGGAGAGGTGTGAAGAGAAGAAGATTTCCCGGCTGCCTTTTATAGGCAAAATCATCAATGAAAACCGCACCTTAGAGGTGCGTTTTTCATCTGCCATGCAGCCCCACGTCTGTGAATCTGCATGGCTGATTATCTGGTGTCGGAAAATAATTGACACACAAACCGCACTTGGGGGGTGCGGTTTGTGTGGCAAAACCGCACCTTGGGGATGCGGTTTTGTTTTGGAGAAACAAACCGCATCTCCAAGGTGCGGTTTTGCTAGGTCAGCCCAAAACCGCACCTCGGCCAAGCGGTTTTTGTAGGTCAGACCTGAAACCGCTTGGCCAAGATGCGGTTTTGGCCCAGGATAATAAAACCGCACCTTAGAGATGCGGTTTATATGTAAAACGCACCTTGGAGGTGCGGTCCATCAAAAAGGGTGTTATTTTTGTAAATATTTTCGGCAGGATGCTATTTTTGTAATTTTTTTTTAAAAGGTGCTATTTCTGGAAAAAAAAATCCCAAAGAATGCAATAGCAATCAGCAAGTGCTCAACTCAAAGTTGATTTTGAAAACATTCACTAGTCACCACATGCCGGTTTGGGATTTGACTTCATAATTTGGTCGTTGCAGAAGACCAGAAATAATCATGTATTTACAGGGAAAAAAAATCCCAAAGAATGCAATAGCAATCAGTAAGTGCTCAACTCAAAGTTGATTTTGAAAACATTCACTAGTCACCACATGCCGGTTTGGGATTTGACTTCATAATTTGGTCGTTGCAGAAGACCAGAAATAATCGTGTATTTACAGTCTCTAATAATAATATATATTAGTTATTTGGTCGGCGCTTCCCAATGGTTATAAATTAATTATTTATTTTGGTAAGAAATTTCATCCACTTATTTAACTGTTTAGTTCAAACAAAATTATTCACAAAATATTTCAAGTAAAACACTTTTAATAACTTCTATGTAGTATCTTAATTATTACGGAGGTAAAATATTTGTTTGATTGATACATATGTAATAACTATCCCTTCAACCTTCATAAGTTTTACATATAGAGTGTATTTTCAGAATTGTTAAAGAATGGGTTTACGTAATCTTTTGTAATGTGTTGTCTAATAATAAAACCAAGATACAGATCTTACATTTGATTAAACTATTATATAATATTAACTTATTTTACATAAGCTTTAATTCCGTTGTAATTCAAATTGATGAGATGTTGAATGTGGTAGGCAATAATAATAATAAATAGTTAATAATAGGTGAACTATATTATAAAAAGTATCACATTTGATTAACTTGTTATGTAAAATATAATTGACCTTAAAAACCTTTGTGTAAAGCAATTGATGAGATTGTAAAAAATTTAGTAACTAATATAGGAATTTTCATTCAAAACTAATATCATGAAGGCTTATGTGATATATTTTTTTAAATGATTCATAAGAAATTATTATATCCATAAAGTTTGTGTATTGTCTTAGTCATTAAACTTATATTTACGTTTTATTTAATTGACAATAGAATTATGACCAGAAATTTTTACGTTAGAAAAATTTATCAAAATGAACATCATATTGTAAAACACATAAAATTTGATATTTATACGCAAAACATTTTTGAATCCAATTTAAAATGAAAGAACTATTGTCCATTGAATTTTCAGAGAAAATTTGAAAAGTGCTTTGACAACACATCTGAAAATTCATGCACTGTCCCAAAAATCCGGTGAGGGGCCAAAAAGTCTGTCAGTTCTGTTCTAAATTCCTTATTTACCTCATTCCCCTTTATGATATGAATCATTAGATCCTTTTTTTTTTATAAATTACAACCCTTACATTATGTTTTCTAATATTGAAAATAGGAACTTAGGAAGAGTTTTGTATTGAAACCTATTCCATATAATGGTTATGAAGGAGAAATGCATAGGTTGAGAAATTAGAGGGCTGCATTGGAGATGCTTGGACAGCCGCCCTAGAGCTCACAAGTGGTTTAGGTACACACGGCTACAGGAAATTAGAAGAAAAGAGGGTTTATGAACAGTAACCCGAGTTTAAAAGCTAACCCGTTTTTTTCCGTATGGAACAGTTAATAATCTTGGGCCTTAATAATTCTAATAATAATAATAGAGCACTTCTACTATGCTATATAGTATTGGTGCTTTAATGTACAACTTAAAGTTGTACCATAACATTAAATGTATGAGTTTAGGTTGTACCATAAAACAATTTGTACCATTATGTTATGGTACAACTTTGCAACTTGAAGTTGTACCATCACATAAAGGTACAAGTTCAAGTTGTACCATAAAAGAATTTGTACAAAAAGGATAGGTACAATCTGAAGTTGTACCAAAACATAAATGTACAATTTTAAGTTGTACCATAAAGACAAAAATTTATAGCACCAATACTATATAGCATTGTAAAATTTCTCATAATAATAATGTTATTATTGTAGCCTTTATGCATTGTACATGACACACTTGACATTATGAGAAATGTTATCGACAAGTATTATATTGTTTTATGCACAAACCGTACTGGCCACAAGGACGAAAGAAGAGAGATCACTTGGATGCTGCCATCAAAGAATGACTACCTTAACAATCGTTAATCTAAACCTCATTTTTGGTGAATACAAAATTACAAATAATATAGCATAGCATATATAAATTCATTTTAGTAATTTGAGATCCGACATGTAATATATACTTTTTTTCACACAAAAACCAAGACAGAAACAAACAAGCACAGACAAAGGTAACTTGGGAAAGAAACAAGCTGCCCCCATCAACATGGGCCAACTCTACTCTATCATTTCCTTGTGTTTAGACAACATTCTCTCCACCACTAGTCTTTCTTTCCTTTTTCTTCATCTTTTTTCCAAGGGAACTCAGACAGCACTGCTTTACATCATACCAAAATTCAACATGTCACCAAACTCAGTATTATGATGATATCAAACAAAGCATCTAACCAATACGACCATCATTATGTATATCTCCTTGATGCTTGTAGAGAACAACCTGAGTTAGACTATGCAGTTTAAGCCTTAACGGCAACTGTTGCAGAGGGTAACGTACCAACGCGATATCAAAACATAGTGAAGATATCAAGACCTACCCTAAATTCTGATATCTATAGCAGTAGTCATTAAGAGAGATCAAAGAATATATGTCCCCCAGATTTCTTTCATGAGGATTTCCTCCTTCCAGTACAGTTCCTTCTAGATCGTTTGCCCCTAGCCAAACCCGACCAGTTCTCCTCGTGCTGAGCACCTCCACCCTTGGCCTGCTGCATTCTCTTGTACTCCCTCGATCTTAGAACCCCTTCCAAGATGTTTATATCCTCACGGATTTCGAGCCTAGAAAGAGTTGCAATCCCAGGTAGTATCTCCTTCTGAAAATCCTTCAATCTCCTCCCTCTTTTCCACTTAGAGCCGAGATCCTTCGCCTTACCAAAGTCCACTTCAAATGGCTTTGATGACGATGCAGAATCTTCATCATCCACATTTTGTGCCAGATTCATAGCAATCAACTCGTAAGAGTCAATAGAATACTGCGGCTTAGAATCTTCAAAACAAACTGCATTGTCATCCAGGGCCAAACAGATCAGTGAAACAGCTGCTCTCCTCATCATGGCATCATCCACTCTAGCTGGTTGTTCTTCTTGCTTGTTGAGGAGACCTTCATTTTCTCCGTCGCTAACAGACAGCACTGCCCTTGCAGGACAGTTAATGTTTGGCCCAGTTATGGAATTTGTTCTCTTAATGCTCCCCGACTCATTGTCAGAAATGCAGGACTTGCATGAAGCAGGCGACTTGTTGCCATGTAATGCATTTTGGCTCTCATCAGTCCACAAAGAAGAAGCAGGATCATCTACTCCACTTGTACCACAACTCATTTCTCCTCCCTCCCTAATAGGCATATGGTTCAAATCCTGTAGTAGCAGATTATTTGACTTCAGCTTAACAAGGTTAGTTTTGGCATCGGCGACGCTGCCAGCGTCTTCAAAAGATTCTACCTGGGACTTAAAACTACCAATTCTACCATCATCACAACTGCTTTCCAGCTTGCACCCTGTGCTCTCACATTTTATGTTAAGGTCCAAAAGAGTAGGCTTTGCTACATTATTATCTGGTCTAAGCATGCCACCAGATGTTTCATTTGACCTGCAGATGACTTGTTTTTCGCATGCCCCAACCGGACGGATTCCTTCTTCCACACTACCAAGCAGTCCAGTGCATGCACCAGCAGAGTAAGAAGAATCACCGTGGTAAACTTCATTAAGGTCCAGAAACAATTGGCTCCCAGAGGAATGACCATTGCCAGGTTTGTCATGGGGATCTCTTTCACAATACATTCCTCTCTTCCCCTCAAATTTTGAGACTATCAATTCCTCCCTGGAAGCTGACTGAGGGCAGACAGAGCTGAAAGGCGTGCATCTCACAAAGCTATCTTGTGCCTTGTCAAGTGAAACTTCTAAATCAATAACAATTTTATTGTTCGTACGCCAGTTCTTACCAAACCAAGTGCTTGGCACACCATTTATATCAGGCATTCTAGGGCGTCTTACATTATTGTGTTGCACAGAGTCTTCCAAATTTATCACCATATCATTATTCTGATGCTTATTTTTATCAAAGCAAGTGGTTGCCATACCACGTGCATCAGGCATTCTAGTGCATCTTGCATAATCATATTGCGTCTTCTCATCTGAATCTTCCAAATCAATCACAATTGGATTGTTGTACAGATACCCATTCTTTTCAAACCTAGTGCTTGATGCAGACAGTCTAGGGCGTCGTCTGGTACCAAGAGAAAGCTTCAACTCCTCATTCATAAAAGAATATCTATCGGTAGGACGATGCTTGAAATCGGCAGGTTCTTTCAAGAGATTCCAAATGTTTCCTTTTGCTTGAAGGTCCTCTCCTGACTGATGTATGAATTCATCAGCAGAAAGTTGGAGGTTTACTGACTTCTGCCTAGATTCATCTAATATGTCCTGCTTTAGTGCATGTGTAGACCGTACCTGAAAGAAAAAATGTTCACATTCTAAACTAGGACCACTATAATAAATCTTTGTGCTTCAACTTACAACAGAGTACCACATGCCATTAACCATGTCTACATAGCCAAGAACTAATAGAGCAATGTGTCCACCAATATTTCCATATGAGTTGCTATACTAGATTACTTTCCATGGCATATATCAACTCCAAGCTCAAAGACATGACATGCTGGGAAGTTACCTCGGGTACTGATGAAACCCTTGCTTCTTTAGCAAGCAATTCATATCTCATGGCATCTTTGGGAGGCAGGAAACATGATCGTGCTTTCACGTTCCTTGAATTGTAGCTACTATCACACTCGTTAACTACATCCACCGTGAGTGATCTACGTGCTTTTGATTGACGGTGGAATTCTCCAAGGATCTAACAAGATGATAGAAAGCAAGAGAGAAGAATATGTGAACAAGTGAAGAGCAGAATATCAAATAGTGAAGCAAAGATTGTGACACTTTTTGCTGACAGAATTGGTAGCTATTTCATTTCAGCAAAGTGAACCATTGTGAAGCATTAACTTGCACATGGAAAGGTTCCCGCACCAAGAATCATGGCTCATGAGGAAGCTAGTATCTAACATGGCTGACAATAACCAAGATATCGATCATCTGGAATAGGAAATGATACCTGTGGGTTGTACATAGCCTCCCGTCTGAGAATTGCCTGCTGGACAAGAACTTTAAGCGGGTCTGCGTGCCTTTGCACCGAATTCAGATCGATATCTTCTGGCATCAGCATTTCACAAGTTACCCCAAAATATCAACGTCAGTTATGATCACTGATCAGCAACAATATAGCTACTCCAGCCTCCACATTTGCAGAATGTGTTCTATTACCTATCCTGCGCAAATTTTGCAATCAAACTTTTGTCAATAAGACAAGCATTCACTAAAAACACCATCGAAAGCAAAATCAACCCAGTTCAGCAACTGCAATGCTGAAAAGTAGGTGAAGAGAATCACTTCATTTCATACATCAAACCAACGTGTAATCTTCAGTAGCGACAATAAAAAAAACCCCGTTTAGAAAAATCAACTCCCCTCTGACAGAACCATTCACAAGTCGACAAAAAAGATTAGATTTGCAGCAAAGCTGGCCGAGGGAAAAACGCAACCTAAGCACGCCGCCCAAATAAAGATTTGCAGAAACGTTGGTGTACTAAACGCCGACGAGACCGCCTCAAAAGGATCAATCAATCAACCCCTTTTGCTGCAGAGAGACTAATTCAAACAGAACGAAAACGGCCAGAGACGGAAATCTCTAAAAGATAAAACCCAAATGAAAATGAAACGGTCGATCTAATACTAATAACTCGTCGTCGTCCCCGCGGCATTGTTAGCCGGCAACAGAGAGAGTTTTGCCAAGCTATGGCTCTCTCTCTCGCTAACCTACATATCGGATACTGCCAAAAGAAACTAACAAAAGAAAAAATATTGGGGGCGACCCCAACGAATAAAAAGCGATGAAAAAAGTAATCAAGAGAAAAGAATCTTGACTTCGATCTCCTAATCACGCAACTGTTTTTCCTGTTCTCTCAAACAAAAACAAATTCTAAAAAAACGGTCCCTCATAAGCAAGCAGACCCAACCAACGTACATTAGATCGAGAGCGAGCTTCGTCGTCTCCTTCCGCCATTTCTCCTCGTCCAGCTACGGAGGAAGAAGAAGAAGAAGAGCGAGACGATACCTGTCCTGAAGGAGCGCAAATCCCGAGAAAGTGATGAGGAAGTGAGATTAGGAATGATGGAGCATTTTTAGACAGACTGGGTCTGGGTTAATGGAGAAAAGGACATGGGCGGAGAGAGAGAGGAGGAGTCGGGAAAGGGAATAAACGAAGGCGGAAGGGGACAGGGAGAGAGAAAATATCTGAAGATGGTTTTTTCAGCGGCTGGGAGGGAGGAAGAAGGGTTTAGTTGGAGAAGAATAAGGAGAGCAGATTGGAAGACTGGAGAAAGAGGGTAGACTGCAATCTCTGCCAAAACCCCCTATTCTTACTGTAGCCAGCTAAAGCTAAGCTCGATCTTCTTCTTTGATCAGCGAAGAAGAAGAAGAAAGAGAGAAGGCGGAGGAGAAGAAGAGAGTGTGGGTGGTGGGGATCATCATTTTACAATTCCTATATGGGCATGCTATTTATGTTAACCGCCCGCCTGTCACTTTCTCCCCTCTCTCTCTCCCCTTTTCCCAGTCTTTTTGTGATTCCTTTCTCCTTTTCCTAATGGTTTCCTTTGGGTCAATTACATATATGGTTACTCAACTTTGAGAGGACTAGTAAACGAATCACTAGACTTTGAGTTTAGCCAATTTTGAACTAACTAATAAAATCTATTTATAAACTTCGACATAAACTCTCCAATCGATCTGACATATATTAATATAACATCTCCACATCATGAGAAATGTTTCATCATGTAATTCACTCTCCTACAATATGTGTATAATGTTGTTATTCCTTATAGTCTTTATGTGCCCGCCAAAATATTTAAATTTATCAAACCAAATAGCAATTTTGTGAAGTTTTAAGTATTTGTCAATCGATTCAGACAATGGTTGTGTAGTCATTGTTTTCTTCAGCCCAAAGCTAATGATTGTTGCTTTATAGTCGCCAACGATGAAGAAGACTTTAACCTGCATGCGGATTCTGGCAAGTCGGAGCTTGAAAACGATTTGGCATGTTGACATTTCTGTAGGGGTGAGATGTGAGGGAAAATGTGGCACACATGCTAATAATGGACTAAAAACTCGACTTAGAGGGAGGGGTTTTGCTAGTAAGGAGGCTGGAGGGGGCATTTGGTTTCAATACATCTATAAATCTCTGATTCAGTTTGAAACCTAATGGCCATAACTCATACTCAATATTATAAAAGTTGGCTTTCGTTGCATATATTTTTTTGTAATGGTGACTTAAGCAAACAGTCTCGTACTCGTTCTATAAAGAATCAAAACCTAAAATTAATCACTGAAAATCAAGACTAGAAAACTATATGGGATCTTACATTACAAAAAAAAATTATATGGGGTAGTTTCGGAAATGAGCATTAATCGAGATCAAACGCATAAATGACCATTTTTTCCAATACAACAAAAAGGTCACTAATCACTATATTACAAAATATAAAAGAGTGGTCATCAAAATCATTCAAATTCATAGCAAATTTTACACCCCCAGGTACGTCCAGTTGTGATATCTCGACATGTCAGGCCACCACACCAGGTACGCCCAGTTGACACCCAACTCAACACAATCAATAAACTTGTCGAAAAATTCCAACTTTCGCAGTTCCTTCAACAGCTAGCCGGAGCCGGCCGGCATCTCAGCCAAAGCCTTGCCGGCCGATTGATTCATTTCATGTGAGTGGGGCTGCGGTGCATTCACTTTTGCTACTATCAATGCAAATTGCCAATCGCACTTTCTGCCGGCAGATGTGACAGTTTCAACTTCTACAAAAGCAAAGTTGGGAACTTCACTTGCAGAGAATGCATGCCCCATTGTCCATGAATTTCTTTCTTTCTTTACCACTTTGTCCCTCACATCCCCTCATTTTCTAGTGATCGTTCTCATAGTTAGGGGTGGAAATCGATACGTATTGGTATTCCAATATTAAATACCGAAATCCTGAATAACGAATTACACCTTAAAGTCAATTTCAATCTCAATCCATAAATAATTTCGGTATCACAATCCCTTTCCCTAAATATTTCGGTATCCCAATCAGTATTATCGAATACGAAATTAATTACCTTTACAATTAATAATTTAATATATAAATTAGAATGTATTGTTTAATTTAGGGAAAAATGACTAAGCAAAGAGTTTTGAATTAGGATATTATTAAGGAGAATGGTGGAGAGGAGACATCTCAAGTTCTTGTCATTGGTAATCTTTAATTTGACGAATTGGACGTTGAGAGACGACTATTAATAGTGATGGAATGATCTGTGTATAATTAAATGACACTCTTGGTGGTTGAGGATCATGTAGTAGTGAATGAGAGAGTCTAGTTGAGAGGATAAAATATACACTAGCTTATATTTCGGTATTGATCGGTATTTCGGTATATACCGATCTCAATCCCGTAATCCCTAATACCGAATAACAATTAAAATTCAATCCCAATCCCAAGAAATAATACGTGTATTCGGTAATACCAAATATAGACAAATTCGGTACAATATTCTGTAGATCCCAAATAGCGGTACCAAACTTCCAGTCCTGCTCATAACCATATGGTTCCACACTCCATTCAGTATTTAATTATCCTTCTTTACCATTTTATACGAAGTAGGTAACATTATTCGAATGTATAATTCCACCTCAAGGTGAGAGGTAGAGATGAAAAATAGTCAAGGTTTGATTGGAACAATTATTCGTGAAATGATACATTTCAAGAATGTATCTATTATTTAGAGTTCGTTTGATTATTTTAGACAGATAGAGTTCGCTTGATTTTGATGATAATTAAATTGATGTATTGTGAACTATACATGTAATTATTAATTGAAGAATTCGATGCATTTGATGAGGTCTCATCTTGAAGCTCAAAGTATCAAAGAGAAACCAGTCACAAGTCTTTGGATGGTTTCTTAAACCGTGGCCAATACCCTACTTCTGGGTCTTGTATATTGAGTTCAGGGGTTCTAGTTGGTTTGAAAATGACATGTCGTTCTCGATTGTGTTACCAGCTTTCCAAGAAGCTATCAAGCTCCTCCAGATTCCAACCAGAACTCTAGAACGAGCTTGAAGAAAGTCGATATTCAAACACAGGAAAGAGAGGCCGAATTTGTAGTAGTATGGAAGGGACAGATTATGATGATGAGACACCAATGTTGGACTGGTTCTCTTTGTTGGATGATGATATGAGCAAGCTTGGAGTTTTGAACGAAAGTAGGAAACTTCTATTATCACGTGAAGGCATTGGTTGAGCACAACGAGAAGATTTCAACCATTTTCCAAGACCTCCAAAACGGTATCTAACACATTGAAGCTTGCAGATTAAGACACTTGCCTGTCCACGAAGAAACCTTATTTCCTTGTTCGTTTTGAATTATGTTTAGATTGTCTTTTCTTATTTTATTAGAATGGGAATTCCTTCCTAGTTAGTTAGCATTTCATGCCTATATAAAGGCTTCCAACTCGTATGTAATAGTTAGAGAAAAAATCGGATTATAAACTTGTTGATTTTAGTTCATGTTCATCGTTTGAACATTGTTGTTGATTGTGTTTGGTTCAATCCAAGCTCGAGATCAAGCTCACCGATCAGCTAGTGAACCATGACTAGTAGTGGGAGCTCTACCCTAAATCATTGAGCCTCTTTCCCTTCGAGAAAGTTGTTTGATCGATTCGTTTTTTTTTTTTAGTCTGAATTGTGCTTCAAATACAAGGATTCCTTGATCCTTGTTGGTTGCGTTAAGAACTCTGAAAGTAACCCTTCCTAGGGTTATATCAATATTGTTGTTTCCATCATTTGATTTTTGTGATAGTTATTGTAGTTTTTAAACAGATTATGGGGAAAACACATTTGTATAGCCAAACATTTAGTCCTTGTGATAGTTGAAGTCATTTTTTTCGCAATGACAAATGTACTCAAAATCAACATGTTTATTCGACAAATATTGTCATTTCCGTTATGAATTTTAACAGCATTTTAAGTGTATGTAACGTCGTTGACGTCGGACTTAGATGGACGACACTTCAGCTCTACGCCAGCTCCAAATTGCAATGTGATGCCATGATGCCATCCA